GTGCTCATGCTATGTCATGCATTAATATTACTTATCCATCCTGCCCTTAAGACCTGGCTATCCCATCAGGCCTGGGGATAGGTTCTCAATTTACCCGCCCGAATGTTGACTGTTGAATGCAAGTTGTGTTTTATTAATTTAATTTTGCTCACATATTGTTTGTTTTTGGTATTGCACCCCCTTCCCTATGATTGTAAGCCGCCCTGAGTCCCCTCAGGGAAAAGGGCGGCCTATAAATCCTAATAAAATGTCTATTAAAAAATTAAAAAAAAAATACTGCAAAATCCCCATTCCCTCCCACTCCTGGAGGAAGGAAACTGCAAAATCCCCATTCCCTCCCACTCCTGGAGGAAGGAAACTGCAAAATCCCCATTCCCTCCCACTCTGGGTGGGAATGGAGGTGATGTTTGCCGGTTCTCCAAACTACTCAAAATTTCCGCTACCAGTTCTCCAGAATCAATCAGAACCTGCTGAATTTCACCCCTGCTTCAGGAGGCAACTGGACTTTCTTGTTTCTTTTTTTTTTTTGAAGACATTTTGCTTCTCATCCAAGAAGCTTCTTCAGCTCTGATAGCGTGGTGGGGAATGGAAGACCTAAAGAAACCTCCTGGATGAGAAGCGAACCTGGATAACTGAAAACCTCTACAGACTGTTAGACTTCAGGGTTCCATGTTGTTAAGAACTAAAACCAGTGATAAGTCCTGAATATTCCTAGCCAGGTAATAATAATAACCCTCCAAGAGTTGTGGAAAATGAAATGCATTTATTTTTTAAAAGGAAAAATAAATAAATAAAATCTTTTCTTAAAAAAAAAAAAAGAGAGAGAGATAAAAAGATCATTGTTGTTGACTTCCTCTTAAGGGCAAAGAGCACAGAATTAATGCAGCTTTAAATAAATGCATTGTGATCTTTCTTGGGGCTTAATTGCACTCATTGGATCTATTTATGCAGTCATGTGTTTTTTTTCCCCCTACCGCTAATGAATAATAATAGAGTCAGCACTTTCCCAAGCTTGCATATTTTAATATTTGGGGGGAGGGGGGGTTCGCTAGCGCCATAATCATATACGGTGTTGTAGAACAGCTGGCTGCAGGTACCCATATCATTAAGGAGATTATAATAAGCATTTCGTATACAGGGAGACCATTTTTAACTACTCCAAACTGGTAACAGACTGGATCTCAGCAGGAGACCTGTCAGTCTGGGTGGTTTTATAATCATCTGGGCTTTTAATAAATTAAAGCATTTTTAGCACACAGATGGTAAGAAAAACCTGTCCCTTGATAAGAAGGACAGAGAGAAATATAAATCTGAATGAAAGCCAAGTCTCTGGAGCATTCAGTTCCCCTGGAAAATGAGCTGAACCTTAATTTCCAGGGATTATTTGACATTCATAGGCCAAGCCAGACCTTGGTCAGTAAGGGAGAAACTTTGCATACTTCGATCTTTTTTTTTTTTTACATTCAATCTAGAGGTTTGCAATTTTGGTGCAGGTCCTTCCAAAAAGAAAGCTACCTTCCCAAGAGGTTCTCCTAATGAACCGATCTTTGATTGTCATAAATGAAAAGCGAAGCATAAATAATTTCTACTTGCTGACATCATTCCTGAAATAGCGCACAGGGCTGCCAGGTTTTGCGTGGTGGCACACAATCGAGGCAAAGAATGATTAAGAGCAATTGAACCTGCCTGATATGGATAGCCAGAAATGGCCGAAGCGCCGCATGTTATCCATGTCAGCTATTATAGGATATTTCTCTGTTAAGAGAAGTTTGTATTTCTTAAATCCTTTTGGAGAAGCTTATTGTTTTATTTATGAATATATATGCATGAATATGTGAGAGAGTGTGTATGTGTATGTGTTGGGATTCAAAATAATTTACAACCTGTTCTGGGGGCATGGCTTGGTGGGTGTGGCTTGGTGGGCATGGCAAGGGAAGGATATTGTAAAATCCCCATTCCCTCCCGATCAGCTGGGACTCGGGAGGCAGGTAATCGATGGGGCGGGGCCAGCCAGAGGTAGTATTTACCGATTGTCCGAACTACTCAAAATTTCCACTACTGGTTCTCCAGAACTGGTCAGAACCTGCCTAATACTTCTGGTGTGTGTGTGTGTGTGTGTGNTGCCGGCCACATGACCACGGAGATGTCTTTGGACAGCGCTGGCTCTTCGGCTTTGAAACTGAGTTAGCACCGTCCCCTAGAGTCAGGAACGAGTAGCACATATTTGCGAGGGGAACCTTTACCTTGAAGTGAATCTGGCTTCCTCATTGACTTTGCTTGTCAGATAGTCACCATGACCCCGGGATAGTATGACCGCCATAAATGCATGTCGGTGGCCAAGCATTCTGAATTTTGATGATGCAACCATGGGGATGCTGCAGTGGTCCTTAAGTGTGAAAAATAATCATAAGTCCCTTATTTTCATTGTCGTCATAGCTTCAAATGCTCACTAAATGAATGGCTTGTAAGCCGAGGTTTATCAGTGTTCTCTTTCTTCTCCTAAATCTCCCACTCCTTGGCCGTTGCTTTTCTTTCCCTGTTCTAAAAGAGAGAAACATTCAGCAATTAAAAAGAAAAATCTTTGAAACTGCCAGGCAATCACTGCGACTTCGGCTTGCCTGAATCCATTTTCCTGGCATCTCCTCGTACGATCAAACTGTCAGCTTGCAGTCAATCATGTTTTTTAGACTTGCATTAGCTGATGAGAAGGAATATTTCTGCTGGAAGCATTTGCAGTTTTCTCCATCGCTGCCCTGGAAAAGAAGGTCTGAAGATTGTCCCCTTTTCAAAAGGCAACTGAGCTTTCTGATTTTTTTTCTTTGAAGATGTTTCGCTTCTCATCCGAGAAGCTTCTTCAGCTCTGCCTGGATGGTGGGGAATGGAAGGATTTATATTTCTTGCACCCAGCTGGTCATTTGCATCCTTTTAGAGGGTCGTTGAGGCCACTTGGGGCTTTACCTGTGTCCTCAGGGTCACCTGAGTGCTGCAAATGGATGTGGAGCCTACTTGCAAATGACCAGCTGTCTGTAAGGAGTATAAATCCTTCCATTCACCAACATCCAGTCAGAGCTGAAGAAGCTTCTTGGATGAGAAGTGAGACGTCTTCAGAGAGAGAGAGAAAAAAAGAAAGTCCAGTTACCTCTTGAAAAAGCACCTTGGGGACAACCGTGACCCATCTCCTCCCTCTTATGACTGCATGACTGTAATTTTGTTGCTTGTATCCTTACGATTTATATTGATTATTTCCTAGTATGATTTGATTGCTTATTTGTACCCCGTGATTATCATTAAGATTATCATTAACCTTATGATTCGTGACGAATGTATCTTGTCTTTTTATGTACCCTGAGAGCATCTGCACCAAAGACAAATTCCTTGTGTGTCCAATCACACTTGGCCAATAAAGAATTCTATTTCATTCCATTCTAATTCTAATTCTATTCTATTCCTTATTCTAAATCTTATTCTATTCTTATTCTATTCTATTCTAATTTTAATTCTATTCTATACTATATTCTAAATTCTATTCTAATTCTATTCTATTCTATACTATATTCTAAATTCTATTCTAATTCTATTCTATTCTATACCTTATTCTAAATCTTATTCTATTCTAATTCTTATTCTATTCTATTCTATACCTTATTCTAAATCTTATTCTATTCTAATTCTAATTCTATTCTATTCTATACCTTATTCTAAATCTTATTCTATTCTAATTCTT